AAACTATTTGCTGTTTCTGTGTAACACTGTGAGCTTAAGCCAAATTGCATTGGATTTAATATTCTATGTGATTCTTTTTTCAACACTTTGGAGAATATAGGCAAGATACTTCCAGGCGGATAATGCCTGGTCTGGTGATCCTGACTTAAAGATTGGTGTAATTCTTGTTTTTTTTTTCCAAACTGTGTGGAATTTTCCACCTTGGATGGACAGAGTTATTAAACTTGTTGGTGGCTTTACAGATACCTATCTATTTTGTTTTATTATAGCTTTGATTCTATTATCTGAGCGCTTTCGCCTCATTTCTTTGCTCGAATGAAAATGCTAAATTGTATTGCTGTATTGTCTCTAGTTTTATAGATATTTGAAGATTATGAGATCAAACCTCTGGACTTATTCCTTCACTGAAGACACAAAAAACATGTTAAATTTTGTATAATTTCTTTATCATCTCTCCTTGTCTCCGTCTCTAATTTCACGTATAGTTGTTTTACTCGCAGGTAATATAATATTATTTATTTACTTCTACATATTACTAGAGAGGAGACCTTGGCGTCACTTATTGTTATTATATAGTTTTCTGTTTGTCTCATATGTCTTATCTAATCTATCTAAGGGCTTATCAGGTAGAGTGCCTGCAAACAGCACAGGAAATGTGGACAAGCTACTTTGACTTTAATGACGTTAAGCTGTGTTTTTTTTTGTGTTTTTTTTTGGGGTAGGTGCTACACCACCCAATGAGGATGATGGACGACCAGGGGCCCTCAAGAGGTTTAGTGCTTTGTGGCCCTCCTTTCGAAAAGGCAGAAAAGACAGTGAGTATCGTCTCAAATGCAGCTTTGTCTGGTTTTGTGGCAAAGGTTGGTTTTGATGTGACTAAGTTTCTGTTTGATTATTTCCTTTTGATGCCACAGTGCAGGAAATCAGGGTTACTCTGCTTCACTGTGCCGATGTATAGGTGTTTATAATGCAAAGTTCGAATTGGCTCAGTGTGCCTAAAGTGCATGGAGGTGGGTAAAAATTAAAGCTGGTGTGCAGCAAAGAGACGTACAACAACCAGTAGGACCAAGAACAATTGCTGTGGCAACCAGCGATTGTTAGAAACCTTCAGGAGAAAACCCTTTTCTTTTCTAAAGTTTAGACAAAAACCTACATGAGCTTCTCGCTATATTTGACTAAACCTTTCGTACCGTGATTTCACGCTGTCAGCTTAGAGGGATTTAATCTTTAATAGAGTCTAAGCTGAGAACTAAAGCCAGGCGTACACTAAGATTTTTTTCAATCGTTACACGCAGCTACAGCTCACACTGTACGACAAAACCGCAGAGTATAAAAGCTCACAGCTCACGATGTGCGTTCTCACACTGTGCGGCCCGACGCTCTGATGCGATCTACCTGCTCACACTGTACGTCTAAAAACCATTTCAAACATGTTTGATTTTGTCCCGACCTCATGATTCCTGATCCGGAGGTGGTCGTGAGAGGTTGATCGCCCATCGTTACCCGCTGAATACTACACGATGCATGACCAGGCTGAAAGTCGGCCCGATCGGAAACATCTTGCCCAACTGAAGAATCTGCCCGAAAAGGGAAAAAATCTTACAGTGTATGCCTGACTTAAAGATGGACCCTTGCAGAACTGTGTCTCTGTTAATTATTTTAGTAAAAAATTAGCTAATTCGTTTTCTCTATTAAATTCACTCTTTTAAAGATAAATTAGGAATCCTATAAACTTGTAGAACCCAATTTTCTCTCCAGTCTGTTGAATTTTAAAGTATATTTATTGAAATAATTTGCAACACGTCGTCTCAAAGCCCTTTTCAAAGAACAATCCCTCATACTTTGCATAGCAGACAGAAATATTCCCCCTCAACAGGAAGAAAGCTCCAGGAGAAACCAAAGGACCTACATAGACAGAATCACTGATCCAGGAATATTTTCTATATAAAAGATGGATGAAAAGGTGATTCTAGCTCAGTTAGTGTTTTTGAGGAGACAAAACCAACTAATCAGAAAAGCTCTGAGCCGGTTGTTAAATCTAAAGGACGAGAGAGAGCACAATAGTTGACAGTAAAAGCTGAACCTGACACTCAAACAGGTGTAGTTAACACCTGAAAGCTGTGAATTAATGCTGCCTTTCATTTCACTTGGAAGTAGGAAGTAAGAATGAAGCTTCCTCTGTGGTGGTCGTCTTCCAGGCTCCCTCTCCAGATCGTATTCTTCATAGGTGGCCACAATTAAAACCATAACAGGAACCCTGTTCCAGCCGTACTTCCCACATCTTCTCCTATAAACGCTAAACAGAAATACTGAAAGACTGACTTAATGCTATATATAGTGCAGCAACTAAAGATTTATTAAATATTGAAATAATCAGTTGATTATATTTTCATATAATTAATAAATCAGGATAAAAAGAGGAAATGCATTTTATTTCCACCTCTTTATTCTCAATTAGAACATTTGGGCGGATAGTGCAAAAAATACAGTTAGCTTTGTAGACATTTTGTTAAGATGATATTAAATAATAAATAATGTTTGCTTCCAATGAAAATCTTTTTGTAATAAGGTTGTAAGTCAATCATTTAATAGTTTGAATGAGCCGCTCAAACTGTCGTGCCAAACCGGATTTTGGTTCACCAACATTTATGCTGCTGCACCTAAATCATCTGTGCAACTGATGCAAACTGTTAGCTTAGAGCCCTGCAGTGTTTTCACTCACTGTGTTAGCAAATTAAAACTCTAACATTAAAGTGATTGATTGATTTAATCTAATTTTGCATTAAAATCATGCAGTAGGACAAAGCAGGTGGTTCTGAGTTATTAGAATCAAACACAAATATCCTACAGTTAATAGCTCCACAGCAGGTGTCATCAGAATCCTGCAGACATGAGGAGAAACCATTCCCCACCATCACAGGGAAGGTGAAAGAACAGGGACATATCAGGGCAGCCCTGAAGAACTGTGGTTATCCCAGTTGGGCTTTTTTAATAACCAACAAGAGGCCTGCTTAGAGGGAAGAAAACAGAAGAAGGAACGTCATCATTCCCGATGTTGGAGTCTCAACCAGCACCGGATCCCTGTGCTCTTCAAACCCGACAGGGCAACACCCTGAAAAAAAAAATGGTTCACCCCAAAGACAAGTGTAGTGTGGAGTGCACAGACCTCTACATTGGAGAGACCAAGCAATCGCTATACAGGCACATGGCTCAACACAGGAGGGCAAACTCCTCAGGAAAGGACTCAGCTGTTCACCTACACCTGAAAGTGTGTCCATAACGTCCATATTCTGGCCAAGGAAGACGGATGGTTTGTGAGCTGGGTTAAGGAAGCCAAGAGGTGGTCTTAGACATAACCTTTCACACACCTGTTGAGCGCTTTTACCTGTCCTCACCTGACTCACATTTTAATGAAGCATGTGACCGAAACCACTCTGACGAGGAAGTTAATGACCCGTCAGAAGTTGACCTTCTTGGCTCATCTAGTAGGAGGGATCAAAGTCGCCTTTTGTTCCCCCTAATACTTTGTTCCACTTACAGTATATTCATCTCAGTGCTCCCCACCATTACTTAGAACTGCCTCTTGGGTAAGAGGCCAAACGTCTTCTAGAAAACTTCACATCCAGTTGCCTAGACTGAATTTTTTCACCTTTTCTCTCTTGCCTACCCCTCCTAACCCCCTCCCTGTCCCTACCCCCCTTACTTTACCTCTTGTAAAGCGACCTTGGGTGTCCTGAAAGGCGCTATATAAATCAAAGTCATTATTATTATTATTATTATTATTATTATTAAGCTTTACCCTGACCTGGATGACTCAGTCTTCACATATTCAATCTTTACATTATTCTTTATTAGTACATTTAAACACTCCTCAGGTTAGTTGATCTAAAATAATAAA